GTTTCTGATTAGCTTCACAATTTCTTCCTCTCAGTGATGAATGAATAATCAAAAATCAAGCATTTGAAGGTCTCTAGCATATACAAATCAAATCAAATACAATTCCCCACACCCACATATATGCTTTCAAAATACTGAAAGCACAGGAGACAAAAAAATAATCTTAAGAAATATTATAAAAGAAAATATTATGGCCATGGAATAAGAACTGGAAGCTATAAAATGGAAAAAGAAAAAAGCCCTTGGAGATTAGAAATTTTGACAAAAATAATTTTGTAAACAGGTTAGAAGTTGAGAAAAATTCAGGGAGAGCAAAAAGAAAGTAGAGAAAATGATGACAGAAGAACTCTAATCAAACATCTGACAAACTCGAGAGGTAGCAAAAATGGAAAAATAAAGGGGAAGAAATTATCAAGACAAACAAAAAAGAAAAATTTCCAGAACTAAAGTAACAGGTCCTTCACAATGAACATCTGGGAAACCAAGCACAATAAACAAAAAGACCCACACCAAGGCATATTATGCCAAAATCTCAAGATACCAAAGGAAGAATACTATCTCAAAATATTAGAAAAAAATTTTTTTTTAAAAACCACACTTAAAGACAGAATGTCATCAGCAATCCTAACAGCAAGGCTGGACACTAGAAGACTACAAAGCAATGCCTACCCAAATCTGAAGAAAAATGATTTTCATTCTTGAATACCATACCCACCCAGACTATCAGTTAACTGTGAAGGTAGAATAAAGGCATTTTCAAGATGACAAGATCTCTAAAAAACAACTTCTGGAAGGTTCTAGGTTTTCTTCCTGCCAAGCCTTCATTTATGCTGGTCTTTATATACATTGTATCCCAGGGCCTAGGAGGCATTTTCCTCATCTCCACTGCTGACTTTGTACTTCAGGAGCTCAACTTTGTCCACCCATCCTGTAAGATCTACTATTGAACTACCACTTCCTCCAAGAAGAATTTTCTGTTCCTACCAGCAGGGTACAGTCTTTTCCTCTGGGTGTTCAAGAATCACACTCTACTTCCTTGCCCCCAAAAGATACCTCAATTCTTTTATTACACTGACTTTTCTCCCTAAATAAGCAACAGAAGCCTCCTGCAGGCAAGAAAACTTGCCTGTTTCTTCTTCATAGTTCGATCCTTGCTGTCTCTCCTACGCACCAACCAAGCCAAGTGCAACTTCTTTAAAATAATAGACATTCAATGATGAGAGAACAATGAGATGGGCTAAAAATTTCACATTAGTCCATTTTGCTAAAAAGATAGCACTGAATCGATTTTATCTCTGCTCTGATCCCTCCTTTTACAATTTCCCAACTTAGGGTCTCTGCCTACAGGGCAAAAAGGCATCATTTTTGAAGACTGAAGGGAAAAAGAAGAAAATTATTATTTCAATTATAAAAAGATGATCATATGACCCAGCAATTTCACTCTTAGGTACATACATATGAGAAATGAAAACACACGCCCACGCAAAAACGTCGACGCCAATGTTCATAACAGTATGATTCACAATACCTAAAAGGTAGAAACAACACAAATGTTAACCAACTGATAAGTGGATAAAAACAATGTGGTATATCCATATAGTGGAATATTTGGCAATAAAAAGAATGAAGTACTGATACAATGCTATAGCACGAATGAACATTAAAAACAGTATGTAAGTGAAAGTAGCCAGTCACAAAAGACCACCTATTGTATGATTCCATTTATATGCAACGTCCAGAATAGACACATCTAAAGAAACAGAAAGTTGAATAGTGGTTTCCTAGAGGGGAAAGGATTGGGTAGAATGGAGAGTGAATACTAGTGGGTTTGGGATTTCTTTTTGGGGCAATGACAGTGTTTTAAAACTGATTGTAGTTATGGTTATACAACTCTGAATATACTAAAAACCACTAAGTTATACACTTTAAATGAGTAAATTATATCTCACCACAGTTCTTCTTCATGACAAGGTTGTGGAAATACATTAAATTTATATTTAATACACTGTGGAAATATACTAAACTTTGGAAATATATTAAATTTATATGTTACTTTAAAGCAGTATCAAACAGAAATGAGGCAGGATTTTAATGTATGTCAACTGAACAAGATCAAAACACACATTTGGAATCAGAAGTCATCAAGTTAAGCAGATATTCATTTGCTTCAAAATTAATACATAATCTACTCACCATGGAGTTTACGAGATAAGAAAAGCCATAAAGTGGCAGTGAAGAGTTTTGGGCTTTAATGACAGCACAGAGTACCTCATTATATAACCTTTTGTAGGTCACTTAGTTTCAAAAGGCAGTGTCTCTAGTTTCACCTTATTATTCTTGCTAATCACCTTGTTTCATAGAAGTATTATTCAGGCAATTAGTGGATAATGTGTTCAGATGTACATAGGACCATGATCTGAAAGCACTGCTGAGGTCTATTCCAGGCATTTGTACAGAAATATTTTTTACACGTGATCTGTAAGTAAAAGCACTCACTTGTAAAGTCTTTCCATTTAAGGGAGCCCATAATGGTTAAAAGATAAATGTAGAAAACATCTGACTCTACCAAAACGGATGTACAAAGTGTTTTAAACAATTTAAAGGTAAAGGATGAATTCGAATATATTGAAACTTTAAGGCTCCATTTTGAAACAGGTCTCACAAAGGTATGATGATATTCTGGCAAGGGAGAATGAATAAAAATAACCTACTGAAGAACTAGCCCTCTACAATCCCGTTTTGCAGTCTTCTTCAAAGATATTGGGATTCATAAATCAGACATACCAAAGCATAGTTTTAATATAAAGTAAAATTAAATCTTGGTCTATCTTCTTTCAAATATTCAAATTCTCACACACCTTACTGAAACTCATTTGAATACATCAAAGGTTTAAGGTACCGACCTAATTTTAAAGGAAAAAAGAATGTAAATAAACTATTTTCACAAAACGCAGGAAATAGGCCTTCATTTTTTTGCCTTTACTTGAAATTTTCTTGATTCTCTTTTGTATTCTACATCATTTATAGCCATAAATATTTTAGGCTATATGACTATTAACAAAACCCTGGTTTGATTTAGTATTAACATCTTGATCCATGCTAGATTGAAAGACATGTAATAGTTCTCTGCAGCAATTTAACTCATGACTCACAGCACACACATTTTGGGGACAAAAAATGCCCCAAACAAATAACTAAAGACTTTGAAAGCCAAACCCATAATATATCGGGTTGTATGATGATGGGATATGGATCTGAGAAACTGCTTAATTTTGGTATGTGAAAATTACATGAATAAGTTAGCTGCAAAAAGGACAATCTTATTTTTTGAATACTAATTGCATATAGATATATTTTTTTCTTTACACACTGGGTAAATACTATATAGGAGGTAGAATTCAAATTCTCAACTGCAACATATATTAACTACAGTGCAAACTTGTGGCAATTAACTTTACTAGTCATGCATTCGTTATTTAATGCTTTTCATCATTTAATTTCAACTTCATAATGTTTTAAGTGGCTAACTTTGGTAGAGCAGACTAACTGATGGCAAATGGGCTTCATCTTGTTTCATCCATTTCCACGGTTACAGCTCCCCCCTCTGCTCCTTCTGTTTATAAGCTGTCTCACAGCTAAGAATGTCAGACCAGGAGACAATTTCCCTCTTGGCTGAGGTGAGACCATTTTTTTATATATACATATTTTGTTTTAAAGAAGCTTGGTACAATTCAGGATTAGGTATACAAGTGGACAGTATACAGGTAAAGTTTGGGCCTCCCTTTGGTCCCCACTTTGCCTGGTTTGAGATCAGGTACCCTTACTGACGTTATATTCCCTGCCCTCCGCACCCCGGCAGTATCAAACTACTGCCAATCCCTTTCTTATAGTATTATGGTAAATGTTCAGGGTCCACTTACGAGTGAGAACATGTGGCAGTTTGGAGAACGTTGTTTTGATATATGCAAATCTGCTTTTTAGAAGTCAAGGTCTCCTGGCAGCTCCTTAGTAAACTACTATGGCAGTCACGCTAGAGGTCTTGAATATTGCATAAAGACTGTCCTTGCATTCAAACCAGAATCTCCAAGCCACGATTCCCATAGCAACACACATAGATTTTACTCATCTCAGAGATGAGGCAGCCAGCTGAAATGCTACCCTGATTTTTCTAGCAAGATCAACATAGCACTTACTCTTTTTCAAAACAGTAATTTTTCCAAAATGAAACCAACAACTGTGTTAAAATATGTTCATTTGGAAGCTACTGGGTATCCCACAAACCAAGCTACCTTAAAACTTGGACAGTCTATGCACCAGAAATAGTTGGTATTCAAATGACCACATGAGAAAAAGAATTCTAGTTATTACAATTGTATAATGAAACACAGCTCAAGATAAATTCTGTAACTGTATATTTCACATCCGATTTCCAGGCTACCCTTCATATAGACACACATTATTAGGATGGGATGGAGAAGAAAGTACGCCAAGGGGAGATCCTTTGTTGCTTTACTTTTGAAAAGCAAAATGTAACCTTTTCTTTTAAAAATGATTCTATCATAAAACACCTATGGAGTAGGATTCAAGGAAAAGACTGTTCAAGTCTAAGAAAATAAACATTAGCTTGAAGAAAGTCTGTTTTGTTTTTTTCTTTTTAACAGAGATATGGTTCACTGGAAAATGACATTGATATTAGATATGGTTTTCTTCTTTGTCCATTCAGGGATTCTTGTGTGTGTGTCCCAATAGGCCATTCACTCATGGAAACAAGTTGCTTGGACAATAAAAACAAAATGGAAATAAAGACCACTCTTCCAGATCACACTTCCTTTTCCGACCAAAGGAAGAAACCCGCTCCATTTTTTGTACCTTTTAAAAAACCAGACAATGAAATGCTCTAATAGACCAGACATGCTGCAGGGGAATCTTCCACAGGTGGCCTATCCCAGTCACAGAACACCTTGCAAAGGAGGAAAGGGGCAGGGAAAAAATGGCTTTACCTTTGCTTTTTCCAACTGTGCCTGGGCCTGCCGCTCAGCCTCTCTGCGCACTGCCTCGCGGTCCTCCTCCAGAGACACATCTGAATCGGATGGACGACTGGTGTAGGAGTCTGCTGAACCCTGCAGAGGAAAGCGTACATTTTAAAATAGAGCCACTCTAGGGTGTTTGCATTGGAAAAGTCTCCTCGACGCCGCAGTGAGCTTCCCAGATTGTGCCACCCATTCCTGAAAAGAGGAGAAAACAATCCATCTTGCAGCAACTCCTCTTGAAAATCATGCTCTGATTTGCAGACCATTCACAAGGATAGTTAGAACTACCGAGTTGCTGTTCCTCCCCAAGCCTTATAGTCCCCAAATGATCCTCTCTGGAAGCCAAAAACGAGTTCCTTTATCACGAAACCAGCTCGGTGGTGCAGTGCAGGGCTGAAGGGCACTGACGGGTTTCAAGGATAGCTTCAAGAACAATCTACATGCCAAAGCAAGTATTGCAAACCAGGAAGACATTAAGCCCCTAAAAAAACATAAAAGGAAGTCAGAGGAGTTATAACTTGAACTCTCCAAAATATCGCTACCTGATAGCACTCTCACTTTCATCTTAAGAATCCTTTAACACCTTTTTATACACCTGCTACCTTCTCTGACAAAACGGTAAGGCACCAGCACCTAACTTCACTCCATCTTCCAGTCACACGTTTCTAAATACCTTTATGTAGATTTCATTAGAGCTGTTTACAGCAAACACCTGCCTGGAAGAGCTCCTCAGGTAATAAATCACAACGTAGGAAAAGGAGCTCAAAAAATGATAGGAATCTCCCTCCCTCCTCTTGCAGTCATGATCAGATTAACTCAATCAAACCCCCCCTCCACCTGCACTCACTGCAACAACCTAAAAGCAAAGACAAAACAATGTCTCCCCCCCACGAAAGCCCTTGCGCTTACACAGATATCAGAATTCTTCAGCCGTCCTCCCTTGGCTCTTTTCAGAAGCCTGATCCAGGTGGCCTTCATGAGCCAGACAGCGCCTGTGTCGTCCGCAGCTGCAGCCCCGGGCGCAGGTCCTCAGTGCGCGCTGAGCCCAGGAGAGCCCCAGCTCCTTTCCCATCCATGCTCTGGACAAGCCCCTCCGCTCGGTCCCCCTCTGCCCCCGGGGCTGTCACTCCCTGCCCCAGAGGACTCCCATCCAAGGAGATTCTTAGTTTCCCATCCCAGGATGGGGGGGGAAACACACACCCGAATGCTTTCTATTGCTTTAAAAATAAAGAACACTTCAAGTGCATTCAAAGACGGGCATCAACTCGTTCGGAAACTTCACGCATCTGATAGCCCTAAAATTCTCTCCCCTGCTCTCTCATTGTTAGAGGAAATTAGTTGTAAGAGAACCTTAAAAAAGAACTAGTGCAAAGAAAAAACAACAACAACAACGTATGCAGTGACATTTGCAAGTGCAAAGTTCAAGCCTTATCTTTGGCGATCTCGAGGGGGAGGGGGAAGAGGGAGGAGGACTGCTCGCACTGGGCATGCTCCATATGTAGCCTTTTTTACGCAGATGCTCACATCACGCTGTTAGTCTATGTCAAATGCCATTTTACATTCGAAGTGTAAACAGCTGGGAAGGTCTTTTGGGTTTGATAGCAACTGGCCCGTGGTATATGCTTGCCGGTTTTTGTTGCGCAGGAAACTCTCTCTCAAAAGGAAAGCATGTCAGCTTTTCATTTGATAATCCCTATCTATTACCTGCTACAGAGTGTATCCTGTGCCACAAGGCAAGTCTCAGATAATAAATATCATACGTAATATTGGACAGTAAAAAAAAAAATGAAATAATGTTCATCAGTCGTAATAGAATACTGTTTTTTAGTGCTTGTGAACTTCCCAAACAAGATGCAAGAGAGAGATTTGGCCATTTAATTAGGACATGAAAGTAATCACAGCTCTATACAGCAATGAGTTTAACTGAGCTCAAAATGACTTTGAACTGCTTCTCCAACTGAGAAACCACCATTTAAAATAAAGCCACTGGCATAAACAGCAGTGTGAATTGTTATAACAATGCCTATGAAGAAATTTCAAATCTTGGTTGACTTATTAGCTTGAGTTAAAAGTCACAGAAAAATTGAATCCAAATTCTGCTTGAGAGGAGTGATTACTAAAGTTATTAATTTCTTGCATTACTGAAATTACATTTTTAAGGTTTACTTATGAAGAAATGCACAGCTTCAGGTTTCTTTAAAGTAAACATACAATTCTATGGCTGCATTCCAAACTGTATTTGTTTGAGTGTGGTGAGAGGTTATTTTGTAAAGTCTTGTGCAAAAGAAAGGTGTTTCTTTTTTTTTTTTGAGTTGGAGTCTCACTCAGTCGCCCAGACTGGAGTGCAGTGGCCGCTCCTGGCCACCGCAGCCTCGACCTGCTGGGCTCCAGTGATCCTTCAGCCTCAGCCTTCCAAGTAGTCGGAATTACCGGCATGCGCTACCATGCCTGGCTGATTTTTTGATTTATTGTAGAGATGACGTCTTGCTGCCCAGGCGGGTCTCGAACCCGCGGGCTCAGGCAATCCACTCACCTCAGCCTCCTAAAGGCGCGGGATTACAGGCTGAGCCACCGAGCCTGGCTAGAAAGGTGTTTCTTAAGGAAGTCTTCCTCTCTCCTCTCCCCTGTCCCCTCTTTTCTCCCTCCATCTTTCCCTTGGATTCTGGGCTAATAGCTATCTTCATGACCAAAGTGCTAGAAAACACGTAGGATAGGGGTTTTAGATAAAAATGTGATATTAACTGCTCTTCAATTGTGGTATCATGACATAATTTAATAAATAGATTATTTATTGTGATGATGTGAATGTACAATGCATGGGGATAGAAATGTGTTGCAACTTTTTGGTTAAGCAAAGTTTACAATGGAGAAATGAGGCTTTCCATACAAACACATGGGCTTCTAACAGTAGTGAAAGCATAGCAGAAAACTCTCACTAAGCACAATTATACTCCTTAAGGGGCCTCAGTCAGTCCTCATTGTCACCAGTCTTGTCATTTTAGATCCAGTCACTCCACTAAAGATTCAAGTCACACCTCAGTGAAGATGCAAAGTCTGTCAGTAAGATCCGCATAATGGCAGAAAGTGTGTAATGAGAGAAACAGCATAACATTATACAAGTTGTGTGTGATCTCATTCCCTTTTAAATAAAAAAAGGTTTGAAAAGTCCTTTACTTATAATCAGATGTAACATTCACGTTGTATAGTCATCTTGAGACCTGTTTTCGGGTTTGAACAGCTAAGCAGTTAAAAAAAATCTCTTCAGTGACTTGACTTTTGGCAAGATCTTTGCAATGACTTATCAACCTTTGACTTGTATCGTATGGGAACTGATTTTTAGAGTAGATTTTTTTCTATTGAAGGACCTAGATGACTTTCAATTTCTTTTCTCTGTAATAGCATATACTTTTTCAAAATATCTGTCATTATAGATGTTATATGCACCTATTGTCGAAAGAGAAAGCCACCAATAACATCACCTTAAATTCTTCCACCCAAAGACAATCGCTTGTTTCAGTCTCCAGAGTTGTTGTATTTTTGAAAGTCACCCTCCTGACATATGTCTAACAATTAATCTCCTTCCTTCTGGGAGTGTGGATTTATGCAGTTAGAAGTGATATATCTAATTAAGCTTTTGCCTTTGATACCATATGGACTTTCTGGGTCATTGTGCCTCAAGTAGTCTTCAGTCAGGAACAGCTGGCGGTCGTTTCTATAACTCCAGAATAGGTTCATTACAAGATGTACCCTTGATCTCTGCGGTTCCTATAATGTGATTAGTTGGTCTTCTGCGGTATTTGTCCTTGTAGGTACATCACATTTTCAGCTACCTAGCTTTTCTCTGCTACAGTTTAATAGCCGCATTCCTCACTGTACAATTCCAAAATGCAATTTGTGCCTAATGCCCACCAAGAGTTCATCCCAAGACCTGCTTACTTTTATCCTCAGAACGCTCACTTTAAGTACTGTATTCTTTGTAGTTTGGGGGTTTTGTGATTTGGAAAATGTAGTTTAATTCGACAAATTCATGCTTTTATCTGCTCTTCTGTTTCTTTTCCACTTTTATGTGAAATATTTTGCACAATAAATCATCTGCCTTTTTTAACGCTTGATTTTGTGTCTATAAAGTTTGTTATGTTGCTGCTGCACTCTACTGTTTCATAGCGTATACTTCCAGCATTAGTTTTCCCTGAGCATTCGTGTATTTTCTCTTTTCAAGCCAAATGGATAAGAGTTGTAAGCCTATTTGAGAGTGGTATCTTTTATCCCAAATTATGTCATCTGTTTATTTAGGAAATCATCATATGAAGTCTAAAGCAATGCTTTTGAGCAAAATCAATTGTTCAAAGTATCCCAAGGCCACCCTGATCCTAGTCAAACCTAGATCCCATCAACATCCTTAAGACTTCAAATCACCCCCTCATGCCCAGGACTATGCCAACCCAACGGCAAATTTCACTCAACTGTTTCATTTGAAACTACCACGGATCAGTCATTCCACTGCCTATTGGTCAGGCCCACATCTTTTAAAATAAAGTAAAACGAACAGACTTGTGAGAACAAAGACCAAGGTGAAAGGGTTCTATCTTATAATGTCTGCTGGTGGGGAGATAGAATTCTTTAATTTTTCATATTATTATCATCTCTTTTTACAATTTAGAAGAATTAACTTTTGTTCTGTGAAGCAATCTACTACTTGGGAGGCTGAAGTGGGAGGATAGCTTGAGGCTAGGAACTGGAGGCCATAGTGCAACATGATCACACCTGTCAATAGCCACTACACTCCAGCTGGGGCAACATAGTGAGATCCCACCACTAAAAAAAAAAAAAAAAAAAAAAAAGACAAAGAGAGAGAGAGAGAAGGCAATTTAGATCCCTCTAAGAAATCTAAATTGCTATCCCCTGCTTTATTGGTGCATTCATAAATAAAATCATAAACAATTTACTGATAATGAGAGATTTTGATTCTGAAAATTTTTAAAATGACAGTTCTGAGATGAAGCACATTTTGATAAATATTGTAAACTTTAGTTTGCAAATATAATGTAATTACTATTCAAATTCATATGATCGTGAACATCTCAAATGAG